TATAAAACGTTATCAATGAGTGATAGATGATCCTTTAGGACAACAAAATTAAAAATAAATAAACATAAGGAAAAATAAACATAAATAAATTAAGTTTTTTACTTTTATTGACTTGATCTTAATACGAATAAACGTATTAAACGTAAACAAATTTCTGCATATATTGATTGATCTAAGGGTGTTTCAAGACATTTATTTGTAGCTTCGTTTTGCCTATGTCTTCTAAAGACTTCAGTACAAAGCGAGACACGTTCATGTGCCGGATTTAGTATATTTTATTAAACAATATGGTCGTTCCAATTTTTTATAGCTTACTAAATTTTTGTATATATTATTTTTGTTGTTTTTTTCCGTCTTCTCATTTCTACCTAACTATACAACAAAAGATGTATTGAAAGGGATGGATCACTTCAAAATCGCCACAACATGTGCACAGAAAAAACTAAAACGTCATCACTATGTGCGATCCGATCCGATCGAATTCGAAACGATGCCATCCATGCATTGCAATACGACACAATTGGTTATGGGTAAAAATTTTTTATTGCAGACGTAAATATATAAGTATCTTTTCGTTTATATGGAAGTAGTATGTAGCAGTGATGTATTTATAAATGCCTTTGGATACACTGTGTGCACAGGCATACATACATACATATGTACGACTGTTTGTTTGTAGGTAAAAATATTTTGTTCCTTTACTTATGTTCTTCCTTCTGTGAGCAGTGATTCGTAATATTCCGTTGGGTGAGAGATCAATTATGTTTGTGGTTCATTATGTTCCATCATTGTTTTTTGTGCGTACAATATCATCTTCCCTAAAAGCATATTCAGTCGGCATCGTCAGTCACTCTCTTCTTCTATGTATGATCTAAATTCTGTAGAATTTCTTATTTCATCTTTATAGCAAGACGACTATCAAAAACGAGTTTCGCTTCCTAAAATCAGTGCTGAATACAGCACACTCACTCACTACATCATTCGCATGCTGCTTTGTCAGTCATCAGACTGATCGACCGATCGACCGTTCTGTCTGACTGTCTGACTAACCAACCAACCAACCAACCAACCAAACAACCGATCAACCGACCCATCTACGACCAAATTATTGTTGTTTGAATTATGTGCAATTGTATTTACAGCTTTTAGTATTGTTGGGCCAGCTACTTGCTGCTTGCTGCTAGCTGCTAGCTGTTAGCTGCTAGTTGCTTGCTCATAGATATGCTGACACAACAGAAATAACGTTTCGTATTTCTAGTTACTGTTGTTGTCGTCTTGTGTTTTATTGTTATTGTTGTTGTTGTATGTGTGACTGTATTCGTAACAATATTTGTATTTGTGGAGCAATGCGGAAGTGAATTTAATTTTTTCGTTTTGTGCTTTGCTTCTTTCTGTGTACTATAAGACGCTAGAATTGAAATCAGGAAAGGTATTTATTTATACATTTTCCTTCTCTCTTTCTCGCACGCTTGCTTACTCATTGTATCATACACGCGAATGCCTTCTGCTGCCTGCTTGCCTGCCAACCATTTGTTTGTTAAGTGTATCGTTCATTATTATTTTAGTTTATTTAAATTTTTGCTTCCCACAAAATGTTAGGGAAATGCTTTTAGATTTGTTGTGGGCTCTACTTTGATTGGAACATGTTGGTTGGTATGTGTGAAGAAACAGGTTGGTTTCTGAATATTTGTTTTTCTAAAATTCTTCTCTTCAAACAAAAAAAAAACAAAAATTATTTCTACTCCAAATAATAAAATCACATCACAATCTCTAACATGATTAAGTTTTTGTAATAGAATCAGAAAGGGTTGCTGACCAATTAGCTCATATCTTTATATGGATCATGCTAGAGTACTTTTCGGTATAGTGGCAGTATCTGTAGATTCTACAATTTTACTTATAAGATGGTGCTATCCGAATAATAAAATTCATAGTTGAGAGAAGATTAATTTAACTGTAAGGACTATACATATATATATATATGTATACATATATATTCTTTAAAAAACACTACTCCGGATACCTTTCATCCGAATAGTAAAATACATAGTTGAGAGTGAGAGATTTATTAAAGAACAGGGGCAATTAACAACAGGGTACATTTATATTGCTTTAAAAGAGACAATTCCGGATACCTTTCATTCGAATAATAAAATTCGTAGTTGAGAGAAGATTAATTTAACTATAAGAATATAGGTAGCTAAATATATATTCCTTAAAAAACACAATTTTAGATACGTTATATCCGGATAATGAAATTCGCAGTTGAGAGTAAAAGATTAATTTAACTATAAGGTCTATAGGTAGACACATATATATTCTTTAGGAAAGACAATTTTGGATACCTCTTACACGATTAAAAAAAATTCGTAGTTGAAAGTAAAAGATTTATTAAACAACAGGGGCTATAAACAATAGTTTACATTTATATTCCTTAAAAAAGACAATTCCAGACACCTTTTGTCCGAATAGTAAAATTTTTAGCAAAGAGTAAAATATTAATAAAACTGTAGGGACTATAGGAGTCTTGGAGTGGAGTAGTGCGACTATTATATCTTTTTTGCTCCATTAGAGAACGATAATAATCTATCAATAAATTGTAAGAATGTAACTTAACATTACTACAGATCGTTTTAGACAAACAAAGATGAATCATTTAATAAAATGTATACTATCTTAATCATCATTAGGTAAAAAACTAGTTCTCAATATTACAATTCAATATTTATAATAATCAACAAAGTACTCTCAAAAATATGAATATATACTGCAAAAAAAGTTATTGGACTAATTGTACATACAATCACTTAGGATATGAACATAAGAACATTTACAATCTACTTCTAAGATATGATATTAATTTCGTATTATATTATTCATTATATTGGTTATATATTGGTATATGGTAAGGAGTATACATATACAAGTGAATAATACTAGAAACTTAAGTGAACAGGAAAGTTGACAGAGAATGAGAACACTATAATCTAAAGTTACTAAGTATCCTTTACAAAAAACACACTTCAATAATAAATCTATTCGTACCAAACATGGAATATATATGCAACTATAGATGTCGGGATCATTATAAAAATTAAAAATAAAAAGAAGTAAGGTAAAAGGCGAAAGCTTTATAGTAATAGAACATTAAAGTCTTTTTAAAAAATAAATCATATTTGAATGAAACTTAGATGGAGGGAAGGAAATTCATCAAAAAGCAGAAAATTTGAGATGTTAAGATTTTAGTAATAAACCCTAGAACTGAGTTGAATGAAGCTAAAAATAACAGTAGATAAAATCCCGTATAGGGTTGTTCCGCAAATGATGATTGAGTTATTTTCAACAGATTATATTAAATATTATCACACGATATGTTAATATGGATAATATGTATAATATTTTAATGAATTTTAAAATAATGTTTTCACTCTTAAGTTTTTGAATAGCCTACAATTTTCGCTATTTAAATCACATCAATAACAATACCAATTAAAAAAGGAACTGTGCTCAATTGATTAACTAATCTATTTGATAGAGAACGATGAATCATAATAACTCTCATAATTTTGCGTTATCTACCTTTATTAAATATATATTATTATTTCAAAATAATAAGAACAATTAAAGATTGAACATATATCGATTTGGCTACAATAGTTATTATATATAATGAAGAGCATGAATCACGAACACACTTAAACTTTATTTTTCTAAGGACATCCATCTCAATCACTATTTTAACAATATCAGTCAATCTACTATGATGTCTTTTCTTCTCTTTTTTTTTGTCTTTCTCGTCCAGTAAATTGTGAAACTTGTGTCAAATTCTCTATGGCTTTGCTTTGGGTCAGTAAAAATATAGTGAAACAAGAGTATTTGACACTGTCTGTTAGAATCTTGGGGTTATTATTTTTTTTTCTTTGCCTTTAGAACATACTTCAAAAATAACAAAATAAAACCCATAATTAATCCATTAACTATACTATTTTCAGTGAACTTTACTTTTTCAACCACTCAAATCAACAATAGAACACTAAATACATAATATGACTTGATCAATTCAATAATTAACTTATTTTGAAGTAACTGACACTTTGAAAAATAAAGAGTATATATAGATCATATTATCCAAAAACAAAATTTAAATTTTGAAAGTTATCTGTAGAAGAAAAAAATGTTTGTACATAAAATGGAAAGACTCTTATTACTAAATAATTATAGCAAATGTTATATATATTTTATATATATTGCGCTTTGACTCATGATCAGAAATTCCTAATTGGAAACACCACGTATTATCACATTTTCAATCATTAACCGCACAAAGTAGTCATCTTCAAATCAGATGTAATATAATTAAAAAAAATGAAGTGAAAAAGGAATTCGTGATGATGATTTTGGGTCAAATCTATATTCGAAAGATATTGCTGTAGAAGTAGAAGAGATAGTAGAACATTTAATTGTTAAATGCTTAGATTTAACTTAGACTTCGCAAATGATTATAAAAAAGTTCAATTTATCGAAGCGGGGACTATTCTTAATAAAAAGAACAAGTCAATAAGATTAACAGAAGGTATAATAGTCAAACCTGTGCAGAGAGAGTGCACAACTGTCTTTTGGATCTTATATCATATACTATAATATATTATTGTCAGTAATAAACTATTACAAAAAAAAAAAAAAAAATGATCATTATAATTATTACAAATTAAATACTAATAAAAAATTCGAGAATAAATTTTGGCTATATTTTAAGAGTAAAAATGTTGAAGAGAAATAGCTCCATTGTTCCAAAAAATGTTCCATTTTAAAAACAGCTCCTCTTTATTAATATTTTTTTGTAATTGGTTAACTTAGAATTAGTAATAAGACTGGACTGATTGGTCCAGTCGTAGTATTTGGAGTTAACTAATTTTATATAGCGTATCACTTATTGTTTTACATTTTATTAATTATTATATTTTATAAAAAAAATAATGTGATAAATTTGAGTAACTTACTGTTGTTTTAATCAGGCAGCTTCCTTTCTTTGCTTTTGAGTAACGTCTAGAGAACTTAGAAGGAAGAAACGAACACACGGAAGCGCAAGTATTTCCAGATCTAGAACATAAACTTAAGTGTGGCAACTGTTTTATCGTTCTCTCCGGTTTTCAATAGTGTTTATGATTCTTGTTTTTTTTGTTTAATTTATTAAATTTGTTATACAATCTCTCTTTTTTTATGGAAAATACTTGAGTTGAGTATAAATTTGTTCTGTTTTATGTATAAGATCACCTATGCACTTTAAAATACTACAACATATTCACTTAATATCAATTATTTTTTAATGAAACTTAATTATAAATTCAATTTTTCACATGCAAAGCAATCTTTCACTCCACGATTCTGGGGAGGAATCGCTTAAGCGTTCCCTTAAGTCAAACACTTCCTTGATTTGTTGTCCTCAGTTTGTTGATGTTGCAATTGTTGATTTCTAGATTTGTCGCACATCCAAAATTGTTGATTAGGTGAATTTGCAGCACTGCACAAGTTGCATTTTGTCATATTTAAAAGAATGCATATTGCTTATGTTACATATTGTGTACTTTTATTTATTTATGTTTGCATTTTCTGCTGATTGCACGCTATTTTATCCGCGAAACTGTCCAATTCGGATTCCAATTCCTATAATTTTGAGATATTTATTTTGAATTAAACGCTTCTGTTTGGAACCGCTTGATAAATTATTATTTTTATCTTTCCGTACTTTTGTTTCAATGCGAGTATTTTATTTGTTTATATATTTAAATATATTCAAAAATTATTATTATTATTTCATAATATTTATTTATTTATTTTGTTCTGTTTAAGTAATGATATTGCAATGATTCTTGTTTGTTTCTATTGTTAGTTAATTATTTCGAATATCACAATTTGTTAATTATATTAAAATAAATATATTTCTATTTATTGGTCTCGGATATGGCGAACATTTCTTTGTAATTCACATTCCGCATTCAATAAATAACAAATAAATCGTATTAGTTAATACTCGTCGACAACCGCTGAATGAAATTTGGCCGACCACCGGCCGTCGTCAATGAAACCAAAAAACAGAATGATGACAAAAAGAGATTGAACAGACCGACTACTACATTACAGAGTTGCCAGACTCAAAAATTTATAAATAAAACTTACGTATACTACAAAATAGTATACAATATTATGTAATCATTTTTAATAAAATTATAATTTTATTTGATACAAACATATGTTTGTTTGTTAGAAATAATAATTTAAATAATTAATAATTAATATTTTGTGTACTTGAAAAAATAATAGTTTAACAGATTGACATAATCTGTTAAATAATGAAAATGAGATTGACTCATTTCCATTATTATTTTCTGCTTTATAAATTTGTGGTTATTAATAATTCATCGTTAACGCAATATGCATGCAATATCTCTTAATTTATTAATATATTACACAACAATTTAATTATGTTTATCATTTTAATTTAAGTCTAATGGCAACAATGGATTGAAATATAAATTGTGCGAAAACACATAAATGTTCAAAACGCCTGCACATTATTCAATTTCTGAACATTTTTTTATATATTAATTGTTGGGAAAAAATCTCTGCACTGGCAAAATAAGTTAGTAGAAATTATATAAAATTAAATCCGAAATTTAGGCACTTATTAACATTAATATGTAAAAAAAAAATTTTAATAAAATTAAATAAATAACTATTTAAAATTAAAAACTACAAGAAATGCAAGATAATTCATTAAAATTAACGATATTGCACTGCAAATAAACGAAGACGTTTTATTATTTTATTTGTTGAAGGGGGGAATATTTGAGTTATTAATGAAAAAAAGTTTATTATAAATTTAATGGAGACCAAACAAATTAAAAAAATATATTCTACTATCCTAAATTATTAATAAGGATCGTGTACCTACAATCCAACCTTCTGGACGGACAGCCGGTTAATCACACTACGTGATAAATGTAGCATGCCTATTTGCTTTGATCATGACAATTAATGTTTAGACTATTTGTATTTCATATAATTATTTATATATAAGCTAAGGACTTTATAGCCTGTTCTTCGCATTTTTATTTACGATTTTTTATATACAAAACACACAAAGATATCCAAACTGAACTCGGTATTCGATAAACTTTTGTGTTTGGATAAAATATTTGCAAACCTTGGTACTTGTGGTCTCAAAAATAGTATCTGCGAGTAATTAAATGTAAGAAATAATTCTAAGACCACTGACGATGGATATTTGGCAATATAGCCATAATTTCAACGGTCAGTCAAAAATTAAATTAATTAGAAATAATAAAAAATATTTGTTGTTGCAATTTCACTACTATTCAATAAAAAACTCTCTATTGAAAACAATAGTTTGTATTAAGAATTTCGTTTATTTTATTAATTTTTAATATAAATATTTTTGTGTAAATACATAAAACTTTTCAAATGTGATGCCACACTGCAGCTATTTATTGTCGTTGAGGAACAAAATGTATCACTTTCTATTAAACCAAGTTGTATAGAGGTGGCTATTTTATATATTAAAAAAATGGCGATCTTCTCACTAATCATAAAGATAATAACTTTGTAATCAAGTAAGTTGCTTGGGCTTAATGGCAAATCTCATCCAAATCTGTATCCCGAATAAACTTATTATTGGTCTTCTATTTGTGATACAGACATATACATATTCAAAATAGTTTTAATACCTTTTGGTAAATTAAGAGTGCTCTGTTCAAGTCTTAATTCTAAATGGTAACATCAAAATGCTCGTAATTTTAAATAAAATATTGCATTAGTTGAGTTCGGTGCAAGATTTCATACTAATCTTGGTACATACGTATGTCCCGATATAAATAATTATTGAGAAACAAAAGATGTGCACTTTTAAAAAAGGTGGACACCCGATTTTGTAATGTCAGAGCGTTGGAATAATATAAAATGGAAATATAAATGAAATGGAACTTATACTGCTTCCATAATCATTAGGGTGTGTGGGTGTGGTTCTTTAACGGAGACCTTGCTGTTAAAGAACCGTAGCCGACCTCAATGGTATCTCCGTTACAGTAAGAGTCGAAGTATTCATTATGCGGAGAAAGAGATTAATATATGCAACGCGGAGGGAAGAGTTTATTTATTATAACGCCATATGAATGTACATCTGTGTGACATGAAGGAAGAATTCGCTTTAATAGTAGATTGTAGGTGCGTTTTGAATTCGCATGATGGCTATTATCTCAATAAAATGCAACTCACTAAATTGTACATTTATTACGTTGCAAATATATTTTTAACTTTATATATAACTTTATATAATATTTTAATTTAAACTAAAAGTTATTTTTCAATTCTATGAAAGATATATTATGAGCGAGTTCGAATAATTTCTTCACAAATGCATGAGATAAAGAAAGCGTCCCGAAACAATGAGAACAAAGTTTCGCTTTGCTTTCCATAAATCCGGAAAATTCTCAGTAATCTCTAAAATAATGTGTAAAATGTAGTAGTTAAAAGAATCATGTTCTGTTTAGAAATCTGTAGTTAATGTCAGTTTAGTTACATTTAAACTAAGAAACTTGTTAGCATATTCGTTGTTGACTTGGATGGACTGTTTATATTACCGTAGCAAAAAGCTTATAATCGTTGTTTTTCTAATTATGAAGAGTCTGACATGTACAGATCACTATTTCATCTTAAAGCGGAAATTAATTATGCAGAAAAAATCACAAGACAAATTGCAGTCGTTCATTTTATTCCATTTGATCTTATAGATTTATAATTCCTACATGAGATCTAATATGATTCACATAAAACTTTTGTAAGAATAGCTATAATTATATGATTTCTTATTCTAAACATAACAATTTATTGAAACTTATGTGATAGAGTCCAATGTTTAACAATTAAGAATATTATCTATGTGCTTTCAAGTATGTACGCATGATCAGTAAAAAGGATAGCCTATGTTATATCCTTTACTGATCGTTTTTCATCTTTCAATTATTTTAACATATTTTTTCAAAGTACTTTGTCATTTTACTATTTACAAGAAATAGAAAATGTATTTATGTATTAATGTACGGAGTCATTCTTTTATACATATTTACTCACATAACAAAGGACTTATCTGAGCGCACATTCATACATACTTTGTTATCATTGTAAACACTTCCTATAAGTAGGAATGTATATATGTATATAAGTTCAGTTTGTTACAAATTCCAAAACTGTTGTTGTAATTATAGCCTCTTTATTGTATATCAATCAGTTCCAAATACTTGGCAATGCAACAGCAGCAGGTCTTCATTCTTTTTTTTTTGTTCTGAAGTGTTGTGTTGCCCGTATTGAATTATGCACTCAAAGGAAGCAAACCGTGGGAAGTTGTTGAATGTACTAGTGCTGTGGTATCGTGTATGCCTGTCCATATGGCTTAGTAGAAAAAAAGGTACTTAAATATTGAACGATCGCAATGGCTTCCTTTGAGTGATCAATTTTTGTAAGTAAATACTACGTAAAGTGGATGCATGAAGACAAAAAGGCATACATGCATACAGAAACGAAGAATCCATAATATTGATATCGTTTATGTGTATTAATGTTTATCCAGGAGTGTCGCTAAAAGGACAGAAGGAGAGTAATTAATACAATGATGAATTTGTGGGGGTTTTGCGTCTCCAAGGTAGATGGCTTTAAAGTTGACATCGCCAGGCTCTTAGTTGCTTTTACGACAGGCAACATGTGGAACATTTCATTCAATATGAACTAACTAAGACTGTGACTAAGTGAGTGATATCAAATTTATTTCATCGAGGCACAAATTATATGTACGCCCTTATTATCAGCACCAAAGGAAGTTCTTTCGCTATAGTGTGTGTGCTTCTCAGTGTGCGGGATCCTATACACATATTGTATACTGTGATTGCATTTATTTAGGTACTTTTGATGTAATTTATCCCAGTGAATAGTGTCAGGTTGCAAGTATTCACAGCGTAGAGAAAGAACGACCTGTGATCCCTTTGTGTAGGAAAATGAAATAAATACTTAAATACAACAATGTAGAATGTTAACAGAAAAAATCATACAAAAGTACTAATACACACTACCAAATATTTCCATTGTCCTGCCACTTTGGGTTACATATACATCTACATAATTCTGTATTATTGAATGGTTAGACTTAAGCAAATCATTACTCTTAGGTTACCCTTCAACAGGCACTGTTCCGCATTCCTATGATCCGGCTTTGACCGTTATTGTTCAACTTGAATTCTTTTGATTCTTGCTGTATATATTTAGTTACATTTATGTACATTTGTATATAATGTACTAATATTGAACATTTTTTTGAGATGTAGTTGTGAAAAGGATTTATCAAAAACGAAAAAAAAAATTTAAGAGGAGATATTTGTTTTCATTTATGTATCATATTAATCTCATATTGTATTGAGTTATTTTCTAATTGATTAGAGTTTGTGGAATCCAAGTGGATCATACATATAATATGAATAATCCTATTTGAAATTGCAGTTGATTTAATTATATTTATGTTTCTATATAATACTATGATGATATTGTATCCAATTACTAATAAACTATATCATGGATTGTAAGTGGGTCTTAATTTGTTGAAATCATCTATATTTGCATGTGTTAAATATTAATCGTAACAACTTAAAAATTTAGTAATAGTAAACGATCGGTATCCTTATTTTATTTATATATTATTGTAATACCACATTACGTATTATACCTATGATTGAAGTATTTCGTGTACTCTAAATGGTTTAAAGGAAACTGTTGTATTCGCCTGTATTTAAACGTGTTAAAAAAGAATCACGATCACTCACAGTTATTGATCCTATTTGTCATTGTTGGAACAAGTTTAGGTGAAACCTGAAATTTTAATTCCACATAATATGTTAGAACTGTGCTTACCAATACGCCTAGTTAAGCAATCTTCTTCCTTTAATCCTCTGTTTTTGATAGAGCACAGTGGTATAAAGTAAGGTGTAGGGTCCGTATAGTTTCTTTAAATGATTTTGTGTTAATAGTTTAAG